CATGTAGTAATTTATAAAAACACTGAAAGAATTAAACTGGGATTATGAATAATTTCTGGTGTTTACTTTTTTACTTAATAATCGAGAAACTTGTTCTATGTCAGTAGATATAGGTAGCTTTTCACCGTTTTAAATGTGCAAGCTAGTAAGTTTGGGCATCTTTTAAAATAACTTTGAATGACACGTTTGCATATATTTGTTGCAATTTCAGTTTGTATTTTTCATTTTTCTCCCTTGATGCTGGTTGTGTATATCTCATTTCTCTTACAGTGTTAATCTCTTTTGTCTTTATTTTAGAAATATTTATAGAGTATATACTGTGTGCCTAGGACTGTTCTACCCACTACAGAAAAGAGCCTTCAGATTCTAAAACACTCTTTAAAAGTTTTTTGGGGGGGGAGGGCCGGGCATCGAACCGCTGTTGCTCAGAGCTCCCACTCTTGAGCAAGCTCTTAACCAACTGAGACACTCCGGTGGCCCAAAAGTTCTTATCTGTGAATCCACTTGTGTGTTTCAAAGAATGGTTATGCCAAAAGAATGATTTAAACGTACAGCACATTTGAAAGCTTCTTTTGGAGCCTACATTTGTATGTTTAAAAATGTGGGTAGATGGAGATAAAGCTTGCAGAGGATAGGTGGTCACAGAAGCACCCCATGGGTCTTACTTATTAGAATGTTTCAAATGACTGACTATATAGTTATTCACGAGTCATTAGAAAATAAGAAATTGCTTCTCCTCATCCTATGAATTTAAGAGGAACCTCAAGAGGCCATCTTAGAGCAGCTAGAGGATTATCCCTAAGACCTTTTAATAAACATTTAAAACATACACAGAAAATGCCTGTAGTCTTTGAACACCACGGTGTTTACCAGATGTGGCTATTTACTGAAAAGTGTGCATGATTAGTCTCTGCTGTGTCCTGAAATTAACAAGCATTTACCTGTTGGTTTTTATTTTAATGTCTAGATTACTTACAAGATAATGCCTGTTCCTCATTAAAGGTTGGGCCTTTCCATTTCAACGGCTGTTTTGGCCTTTCTATCCAAGGAAGCTCAACACTGACACAATGACTTGACTCGCTGAATTAGAGTTTATTAAATTAGAAGTCAGTCACTGAAATGTGGCTTGTCTTTCCCAGTGGGAGCTGGCAGTGCCATTTAAGAACACATGGTTAGTTTTATCCAAAATGTAACTGTGGCCTCTGCAGGAATGGGACATAGTAGCTGAGCCAAGAAGGCCCTTGCTCTTACTGTTCCCCACAGGATGATGTCTTCTAGCATTTATTCTTTCAGTCCTGTTGGGGTAAAAATGAAGTTGGAGGTGCATCCACAGAATCTATTAGCGTTCCTCTGGGATAGAGCTGTCAGCAGCTTCATATCTTGAACTTCTATGAGGCATGTTGTGTCCTTGACTAAGAAATGTGTTTCCCCATGTGTCTGCTGCAGTAAACATCTGTGATGCCAAAGGCAGAGTGCCAGGCACATCTGTGTCCTCAGACACTGCTGGTAAATGAAGGGTTGCCCTGGATAATGATTGACCTGCCACAAAGTTCATTTGGCGTGCTTTATTTGCTGTTTAGGGAGGCGGGGAGACTTTTTTTTCTGAGTATTTGATCATGGATTTCCATGTTTCTTAAACTTTTATCTCACTGTTTGGGTTCTAATCCCTTTGTGAATGAGCTAAGCTTTCTGTTGTCACAGAGGGTCATGTCCATATTGTTTCCTTCACTGACAGTGAGCCCCCTGCAGTCAAGAATTGTGCCTTACCTTTGTGATTTCCACAGACGCAGCAAAGACAAAGCCAGAAGTGTTTTGTTATTTAATGGTTCAGATGAAAAGTATGGCAGTGGGAAGAGTAGGGAAGCTAAAATATTTTCAAACATCCCCATGATTTTAGGGCCCAGTCCCTTAGAGTTCATAAAAAAGTGTGAATTACACATCTAGGAAGAGTTTTTTCCATTCATTATGCATGATTTCTTTTTAAACTTGCTTAATAAGGTCTGCAAATCTGAGGGAGTCTAGAAAGGACTCAAAGCACATGGCTTCCAAGCCCTTGGATTTAAGTGAACTTTAGTTGGACTCATAATTTCATAATGTAAGTATTTAAGACTATTCTTCCTAGTCAGTAGTATTAGTTTGAAGTACACAGAGAACATTTATCATTTTCTGGGCCAGAAGACAAGGAACTGAAGGCAGTTTTCTAAAAAGTAAAGCATATACCTACCATATCATCCAGCTATTCCACTCTTAGTTATTTATCCAAGAATAAAGGAAACATATGTCCATACAAAAACTTGTACAAATTGATATGTGAATGTTCATAGCTATTTTATTTGTAAAAACCCCAAACTAGAAATAATCCCAGTGTCCTATCAAGAAGTGAATGGATAAACGAACTGTTACTTACCCATATAACACAATACTACTACTCAGTAAGAAAAAGAAATAGACTTGATAATGTAACAATGTGATTGAATCTCAACATAATTATGCTTAAGGGAAAGAAGCCAGACAAAAAGGATACATACTTTATGCCTCCAGTTTATATAAACTTTAGGACATATATACTAATCTATAGTGGCAGAAGGCAGATCAGTGATTTGCCTAGGTATAAGGGTGATGGGACAGGGTGGGAGGAAGATGAAAAGCGCATGAGGGGCCAGCTGAGTGGCTCAGTTGGTTAAGAGTTGACTTAAGAGTGTGAGCTCTGAGCAACAGGGCTGCCGGTTCGATTCCCACATGGGCCAGTGATGCTGCACCTGAGCTGAGCTGTTGCTGAGCTGTCAACAGGTGGCAGGATGGCTCAGCTGGTGTAACACCAAGATTGCCTGTTCGATGGTGGACTATACCCACCTGTAACTAAGACTGAACTCAGCACCTTGAACTGAGCTGCCGCCTGGATGGCTCAGTGGATAGAGCGTGCGCTCTTAACAACAAGGCTGCTGGTTTGACTCCCGCATGGGATGGTGGCTACACCCACCCGCAACTAAGACTGAACACAGCACCTTGAGCTTAAGAGGCCACAAGCTGCCAACGGGAAGCCAGGTGGTGACTGGCGCCCTCCACAACGAAGATTGAAGAACGACAACTTGGCTGGTCCCCTTCCCCAATTCCCCAACACTGTTCCCCTCCCACAATTCCCCAATAAAATCTTAAATAAAAAGTGCATGAGGAACCTTTTGGAGGTGATGGATATGTGCATTATCTTGATTGTTGTGACAGGTTATACATATGCCAAAATTTATCAAATTATGAACAAGATATACAGTTTTATATTCAATTGTACCTCGATAAAGCTGTCTAAAATATGAAAATAAGTAAATAATAAAATGCATTCATGATACTGGGGCTGTTTATATAGCATCATAGTGTTTATTAAACACCCACATGCAAGTGGCATGGCATTTTACTGTGTACTGTGCTTGATCAATAAAAGGATCTTGCTTGCTGATTTGTGCTTCTTTACAACCAGAGTCACTGGAAAGTGTTAGGATTCTAGAAAATATTTTCCCTATTTCTCACTGAGGAAAAATATTTCATATTTACACATGTTAACAACTGAGCATTGACTTTTTTTTTTAAGTAGCAACATGATTTCTAATGAGGAGCTCAATCATGTTGTATCAGCACGAGGAGAGAAGAGGAATAGAAAATGTGGGGGTGAAGGGAGCTCATAGAAACAGAGTGGTGTGGTAGTTACCAGGAACTACCTGGTTGGGGGAAATGTGGAAATGTTGGGCAAAGGGTACAAACTTGCAGTTAGAAGTTGAAGGAATCTAAGTTTGGGGAATCTAATGCATAGATAGCATTGTGATTATAGTTAACATACTATAGGATATACTTAAAAGTTGCTGAGCATAGATATTAAATGTTTTCACCACAAGAAAGAAAGAGTAGTTATGTGATGTAATGGAGGCATTACGCTATGGTGGTAATCATTTTGCATTATATAAGTGTATCAAATCAACGTATGCACCTTAAACTTACACAATGTTATATGTTAGTTAGATCTCAATAGAGCTGGGGTGGAGGGGACTGACTAAAGGCACACAAATCACACTAAAATAAGTAGAAACAAAATGCGGTAGTGATGATAATTCAGTGGTTACTTTTTGCCTATTTGTTCAAGATGAAATTCCTGAGCCAGTGACTTCTGATGCACCCCATGGTTTGATCCTCAACTACCTGTTTGAGTTTTGCTCACCCATCTCCCAGGATACACCCGTCCCCTCCTCATTGCCTTGGTTAAGGCTTTTTCTCTGCTTGTGACTCTTCCCAAGCTCACCTCACCTTGTGTATCTATGTGGTAAAATCTTACCTATCTTTTAAGTTTCCATTCAGATGCTAACGTGTTTTCTCTGGTCCTCCCAGCTGGAAGGGTGTCATCTGTGTTCTGTATTTTAGTAGACACTGCACATAGTTTGTACCTTAGGGCCTTACAGGTATAGGTCAGTGAGGTCTGCCCTTCTGCTTTGGAGCTGAGAAGATGCAGAGCTGTGCATTTTAGCTACTATTTAGGTGTTTGAATTGTTTGATAAACTTTCATATTTATTAAAATTACTGTAACTATTAATGCCGGTGAGGGAAGCAATGACAAGACAAGCAGGAGAAAACAAATTGTTTTGATTTTTTTTGAACCTCATTCTATGTTTTGAGTAGAGCAGATGTGTGGTACATTTACTGTCCTCGTGACATTTTTTTCTTAAGCTACGTAATAATTTAATTTTGTGGACCCTCTCTTCCCCTCACATTTTTAGAACCAGGCAGTGACTAGTTGGGAAAAAAGTCAGTTTGTGAATTTAAATCAGCTTGAGGGCAGTTCACTTTGAATAATCCACATAGAAGAGTTAGCTTAATGGCATCTTAACATTAGAGTACTCATTGTGTCATTGAAAGAACGTAAAATAGGCAGGACTCACTCGTGGACTATTTGAAGAAATGTGGTTTTGAAATTTCAAGTGAGAGCTATTCTCTGGATTCCACGCCTCTGATCACTTCTTATGTTTATTTTCCAGGTCCGGACCCTATTTGTCAGTGGTCTCCCTCTGGATATCAAACCTCGGGAGCTCTATCTGCTTTTCAGACCATTTAAGGTACCTTTCCAGAAGTTGTAAAATTAAACACAAAGTATGTGTATAAGCTTCATGGGGGCTCTTTGGAGGAAGACATGAAATGTTTGAGAAAGTGTCCTATGCAGTGATATTTTTAAAAGGTGAATGAGTGAAAGAGGTTTAACAACTCAGTTCTAACGTGCTTTCTCACTTAGGAAAGACTGAAGCTGCCGTTTGTCCTCCCAGCAGCTAATCTACAGAAGTCTCCTCTCTTACTGATGTGGACATGTGTGTGTCTCTCTGCCACGCAGAGCGGCAATAGTGTCCTGCCCGTTTACCCTCCGCCATTTGGGGCTGTTCTTCTGAATACAGACCCCAAAATTATTATCAATCAATGATTATGTACTGGTATTTCCAATGCAATAATAAAGTCAAGCCCCGTCCCCAAGGAATTCTTTATTAGTTGAAATATTTCTGTTAATACTATTCTTTAGAGACATACTAGATTAAATAGGATTTTGTGAATTCGACTGGGAACCTAACATCATTATTTTTTTTCAGGGGAAAAAATGTCCTAAGTTATAATTAAAGTAAAACAAAATTTTAAATTATTGTTTGGCATGAGTTGAGGGGACTGTTTCCTGGTGCTTAGCAAACTATTTAATGGAGTGTGACTATCGTGGTAAAACTATTTTAGAGATAATGTTGCTGGGATTGAAAACGTAACAGGAAGTTGGACTAAAGCTGAAATAACTATGGAGAAACCTTGAAGGTTAGCCTGTGGGGGATGGGAGAAGGCTGAGACTGGGCAGGATTGGGCCCTGAAGGAGTGACCCTAGAAGCCATGCTATATTCAGGGACTGTGCCTGAGCTGGTGGCTGAGGACCTGTCAGTGAGGGAAATACCCATTTGTCCTTTGCCTCTGAGGCCTTCATGGTGTTTAAGCCTCCAGGTTTTTCAGAGAAAGCACCTTGAAAAAGAAAGAGGCAGGGCTGTGAATCACAACCTCTTTGGCCAGAAGAACTCAAGGCCTTTGAGGTAAAATGTTTACAGTAGCTAATTGGCCACGAGTTCTCTGCAGGGAAGATAGGATAATGAATCAATCTCAACATCCTGCCCAGAAACACTCTGCTAAAGTCAGGACCCTGCTACATTCCTAACAACCATCTTTTAATTAGAGTCCCTGGAGGTTGACCTTAGTCTGCAAATCTGTCTCTGCACTGATATGTGTGGTGGTCAATCATGTCAAGTGGTGTTTTTCCGCGTCTTGTGTCACCCATCAGTGCAAGCCACCAGCCATTGATTACTTTCAGAAATAAACACACTTTGTTATCCTTAATCCTGAGGAGCCAGGGAGGGGTGATGGAAGGGAATGAAAGGGAGTGTTTCTGTTTTCCTTGAGGATGAGCTGGAATAAAAATCCAACAGGGAATTTTTGCATGTCCCAATCGGAATACCAACATGAATACTGGCTGATTTAATAATTAAGCAAAAGAACTCAACAAAATTTAGCAATTGCTGCCTGCTTAACCTTTCCTGGCAGTTTTGAAATTTTGATTAATAAGTTGTACCCGGTGCATTCTTAATGTTTCATTGTTGTTATTTTATAGCAAATACATGACCAAGTAATTACATACTCTGAACTTCACATCTTATTAAATTTACCCTCTTCCCTCTTCTAGTTCTATTTCATAAAGAGTTCTGCTGTAGAGACACCCATTTTCCTACCGTTGCATAACTTCATGAAAAAAAAATAAGGAAAAGAAACAAATAAATATGCATGAACTTCAGGGCTTGATTTCTTTTAGGCCCCAAGTATGCAAGCATAGATATATATACACACATACATGGGTGTGCGTGTGTGCGTGCATGCATGTGTGTGTGTGTGTGTGTGTG